TAATAGTGACGACATACACATTATCAAAATGACTAAAAAAACCTGACAAGGCTAAAGAACTGGAATTAGATTACAGTAGCCACTAGCAAAGTCAGTGTTTCTTTTACAGACAGGGGATCAGAAACAGGTTATTAATAAAAAGATTCGACTTGTGGGATATTGTATCCCCCTCTCCCCAAACACATTACACCATAAATATAACAAACAATCATCATCATTTCCCAAAATGTTTTTTAGGAATTGTACAAAAAAACAATTTTGCCACAAAGGCTAAGCAATTTTGATATGGGGTGTTTATTCTGAGGTACTAGGAAGATGAATTTGTATTTATTAATTAGTACTATATAAGATTTAAATTTAATATATAGCCACAGACAAATTTGCAAAATAAATCATAATGTTTATTAATATGGAGTATTTAATTACAGATTTAATTTATTTGTAATAGTTCCTGACTAATAAAACATTATTTAAAAGTTCCTACATGTACTGTAGGGAACATTTCAAGCTTTTTTTATAATTTACAAAGTCATTATTAGCAAGATGAATATGATATATGTTATCAAATGAACACTAGTCTACTTGGCATTAACATCGATTGTACATATCACTAATGTGTTCATTGATAAAATAATATTCAATATTCATGTACAGTAACTATAAAAGTCAGACAGATTCTAACAACAAGATATATACATTGTATCTAAAAATATTTTCYTATTTTGGGCTCATAAATTGAGTTTAAATTTGAGTCCTGGTGCAGCATGATGGGTAAAGTTACCAACCCAGACTTGGCCATTGACATCAGTGAACTGACCTTGACCCTCAACCCTAGAAAATTATTTTCAAAACTAATCAATATTAATYTCAATACAAATCCCAACACCCTACAACCACAGGGATATATATACAAACAATTAATTGAGTATTTTGTACATACTGTAGTTTTTTCCCTACATTGTCTAATAGTAAACTCAATGTCTGAGCCAATTCTGTGTACCATGCAATTATATTGCAGTACAGTATATTGTTTTTCAACATTATATTTTTCATAACTTTTTATTTGTCAGATGTCATGGCATGTCATGGCTTTACTATTTAAGCATGATGTATACAGTAGAAACTTTTTCGTGTGACATTGCAAAATGGAGAATCTTGCTGAACAGTTACTGAACAGTTGTAATCAAGAAAAAATTACCACTACTGTACAGTTAAGTCACAACACAAGGTGCCACAGTTTTTGCATACTCTTAATGAGATTTCCTCTATAGTCTAAGCGTTAGAACAAATTGCAGCATGTACAAAACATGTCATAAATAATTTGTCCTTTCCTCACTACAATTGAATCATTTTAGCTTCAATAAATGGTAAACGAAACTGGTATTGAAGCTAAAATTATTCAGCAGTGTGTGAAGGACAAATTATGTGAAAGAACAAGAGTGTAACTAGTGAGTCCTTTGAGGTCTTAGGAAAAGAAATTTCTTTGAGATAGTAGATACAAAAAGTCTAAATTAAGGAATTTATATTAAAGTAGTTCTCACTTGTTATCACAGAAATTCCCTTCGTACACTGAGCCATCTGGCCATGTGTACTTSCCATAGCCATGGAACATATTATTGACAAATTCACCCTAAAATCAAAGTACATAATAATATTTGTAGATGTTGTGATAGCATTTTAAACTATGTTTAATTTTTTTAATACTATAGATTAAAAATGACACTTTTAACGATAAGACGGGGCTTTAATGTGTGAGTTGTTGATGAATTTAATTATTATATATTATAATTAGTGATTGTTTTTCTGTTTTTTTTTTTTTAATGTTTAAATATTTTACCTCATAAACAGCACCTGATGGATGAGAAAGTTTTCCTAAAGAAATCAATCAATATAATAATATCAATAAGTGCAGAAACTAACGTCAATTACGGCATAGGGGGAACGTGTGAGAAATGACTGATATCAATAACCTCTGCAAAGGAGGCTAATAATATGTCAGTCCCAGCAATACCAAAAAATAAAAAAGCAGGCGGGAGATAACTTTGAGAAGTCTAGATGGAAATGCAAGCATGCAGAGCAGGGTCATTATAAYAAACATACCAGTGCCATTCATTTTATCTTTCTTCCAGTCACCATTATAAACAAGACCCTCYGCAGTCACATGTTCACCACACCCACTTCTTTGTAAACCTCCAGACATTTTCTGAATATATTCACCATCTAAAATATCAAATCATAGATGACAATTGTCAAAAATTTGTTTTAGTAGGAATACAATGTACCTCTAG